AGTTTAGATTCAACCAATGAAATTCACTCTGACTGTGTAAAACACACAAACTACAAGTTCACTCAAGCGCCGGGAATAGACACTTTATTTGTGTCGCTCTCTTACTCATTGAATTTCTTATATCGTTGTCTCTTGCTCTATTATTCCTGGCGTCCGAGTAGGCACTGTTTGACCAATCGCAAGGAAGTAGGGTCCACCAAACTTTAAAGCCGGTCCCAGACGCTACGTGTATTCGGCGAATATTCGGTATTCGGGCTTATTCGCGTAGCGTGTGGGAAGGTAACTTTGGCGAATATTCGTCCTTCGTCATTTTCCTGCCAATTGTCGGTAAACTGGCACGAAGCAAAGGCAGGCGAAGTTCACTATGTGTGACTTCGCACTGCTCCCAGACGGGGTATATCTCAAGTAACAATCCGACGTCATTTGACGTAATATTACGTTAAAAATGTTCTACCTGAAGTCGGCATCCGACGTCCGTAGGACTTCCTGACGACCAAAATTCGACTAAAATGGGGAATGACATTTCAGTCGATTCGACGTCAGAATCCGACTTTGAGTCCTTAAGTCGACCCAAACACTACGTAATTTTACGTTGGGAATGCTATACCAATTCTGATTTGAAAAGTCGGGAAGATCTAATTATTTATACCTAAACTGTACTATTTTAAAAATGGGTCCAAAGATTTTTCTCTATTTTCTACCAAATGTGGCTATATTATTTTGGAACCATAACAACACAAAGTAACGTCAACTATTTTATTTCATTGTAATGTATAGGTTCTTGTAACAGTTGTAACTGTTTGAAACTCCTATTCGATGAACAATTGTGAAAAACACACTTATGAAGGACTGATTTTGCCGATGTGCATTGTAAAATTAAAATTATAATCTAAAATATCAACAAGGAGGTCATCGTCGGTCGAATCCAATAATGGCCGAAACAGCTGATGTCGAAACCGACGTAAATTGCACAAAAACTGACTATGCCCAATCTTTGGTCAGATAAATAATCCCTAGTTTTTATCTGCGGCGACCTTTAGTCGCAATATGTAGATTCTTTTATACGAAATCTGTTCATAAAAATAATCGCGACATCTAGCCTACCTTTTACGGTAGGTAAAGCTTAATTTAATTTATAGATATGTAAATAAAGTTTCTATTGATACTGACGGTTAATATCGAATACGACCAATAGAAAGGAGTTTTTAGTGAATCTCGCGTTGATATGGAATTCAGGCTTTAATTGTATCAAATATGAGACACACAGTAGGTTTTCGGAAACACTGATCCGATTTACCCGATCATTGGCAATGATCAATCTTGCTATTATTTAAAATTCTCTTTTTTTCTATAAAATGTTGTGGAATGCTTAAATAGTTTTCGCTTTCTTTCCATTATTTTCAATCAGGTATATGGGTATACCTAATTCACAAGAAGGTAATTCGAAACTAAAAATTCACGAAAATTAAAATAACCCTTAAAAAAAGTTGGGTCATTTTATTTTGTGTACATTGTTGGGGTTTAATCAATTTTGGTAAATTTACCGACGTCGAACCAACGTTGGCGGAAAACTTAGTGCCGCATATTTGAATTAAGTCAAATGACAACGTCCGACCAACGTTGCCTACTATACCAAAGCTTACCCAGCCATAATAGGTTATATGGCGACGTTGTAGCGACGTTCAAAGATAACTTTCAATATTTTAGTCAAAAAAGGACGTCACGCCAACGTTGGCAAACTACTCGTAAACTAATGAATTACCGTTAAAATTTTTATAATTATTTGAAAATGAACCTGTCATTTGGAACCCAAAGATAACTGCTGAAATTTTTTTGACAGTTCTAACGGCCAGTTCAAATTTGTTATTTATTGTCATGTGACACAAATCACCCAATCATGTCAACATTATACTGAAAACAGCCCTAGGGTTGTTTTCACTCCATGACATTGCCTTTGAATTTTCTATCCGAATAACCCTCGAACTTTGATAAATACTCTCAAGCTTGTTGCTTATAGAAAACATACCTCCGCTGACGCGTCGGTCTGTTTTCAAGCAACAAGCTTTCGAAATCTGTTATAAATTTTTTTCGGATAATTATCAATATCCTTGGGCTATTACTACTGAAAATGACACAAGTAGCGGCGGCAACAATCTGCTCTTCTTCACTGTTCATTTGAACTAAACGTACGTCATGCATGAAACGCCACTGAAAATCGGGAGACAGAAAGATTCGTGCGAATGACGAATATTCGCCTATTCGCCGAATACATGTAGCGTCTGGGACCGGCTTAAGAATGATACACGCAACCATCAAATAAAAATTATCGAAATAATAGTTTGCCCGCTGGCTTCGACGTCAGAACTCCGCGCAGATACGTGCGTATACCATTCTCAAGTTTGGTGAACTATAGAAGGGCATTTCCAAAGGCTTTTGTAGAATTTTGAATGATTTTTGAAGACTCTACAAGTCTATTTTGCTTGAATTTTCATCAACATCCGAATCCATTGCTTGTTGAAGCTGTTGTAGAGGATCTTGTAGATCAACCTTGCTGAAGATTTTTTGGCAAAATATTCACTCTGGATAGAATGGAAGTTCTTCCAGTTTTTGGCACTCGCAATTTTACATCCTTTGGAATGATGAAGGCTCATTTTTCCAGATCCTAGAGTTTATAGACCCTAAAGACTTTGTTGTTCATGAACCTACCAAAGGTTCAAGGCTAATGACGTTTAAAAATCTGTAAATTTCAAAGACTTAAAAAATAAAGACAACAGCGCAACCTATTATACAACAGCACAACCTATTATGATAACTTTGTCGTAAGTAGTGGACCACATATCAGAAGTCTATGTGCCACTTCAGCGTCAAGTGGAGACCTTTTAAAAGCGTGGATTACTAGAGCTTATGTTAAATTGATAAACCAAAAAAGAAAAGCATGGCATTTATACAGAGGTTCTGGTGAGAATTGTGACCTACGGGCATACAATGTGCTAAAAAACCGAATCGCCCAAACATTAAGAAATGCTCGGTCGACTTTTGAGAGCAGTCTCCTAGAGCAGGGTCCAAGAAGGTTCTACCTGTATATCAACCGTTCGCTTCAATCTAGACTTCAAAACTTTGTCTTAAGAGATTCAGACAACCATCTTGAATCTGAACCACAAAGAGTGGGGGAAATATTCAGAAATCAATTTGACAGAGTATTTATACACGAAGACACAATAACTATATACCACAACTTCCGGACAGTCAGGACCCACACTTGAAAATATTGTTTTTACCTCATAGAAGGTGAAAAAGGTGCTGCTTGATCTGAAGCTCTCTGCCAGTCCAGGACCTGACGATGTATCCCCAATATTGCTAAAAAAACGCAGCGTGACCATGAGTGGAATCCTTGCAAGAACAATGACAGAATCATTTACAGATGGCATAATCCCATAAGCGTGGAAAAATGCAATTGTCATTCCAATCTATAAGAAACACTTAGCTAAAAACTATAGGCCCATCAGTTTAACATCAATACCCTGCAAATGTATGGAAAAGATTATAGCTACTGAAATGACAGAATTCCTTATGACCCATCATGGTGATTAACTATCCAATCAGCATGGTTTTCTGCCGGGAAAATCAGTTACATCCAATCTCCCGTCCAGCTTCATATAATTGACGTTGTGTACCTCGACTTTGAAAAGGTGTTTGACACTGTTCCTCCAGAGAGACTGCTTCACAAGCTTGAGCATTGTGGTATACAGGATCGGTTGCTTCGATGGATTCGGGACTACTTGTGTAGTCGGACATACCAAGTCAGAATAAATGGCACCTTATCTGGCAAGCACAGTGTAGTCACTGGAGTTCCACAGGGCTCTGTGCTGGGCCCACTTCTATTTATAATTTATGTCTCAGATATTGCCCAAAACATGTCCTGTAGGACCAGTATGTATGCCGATGACACCAAGATATTCTGTGACCCTAGATTCCAACATGGTGCCATGGTTGAGGATCTTGCTGAGCTGGATAGGAGGACGAAGGACTGGTTATTGAAACTTAATGTCAGCAAATGTTGTGTGTTGCACATTGGATACAACAATCCTATGCTGGACTACCATACAGGCAATAACAACTTGAGTGGGGTAACTGAGCAGGTCGACTTGGGAGTAAATATCTCACATGACCTAAAATGGGAACAGCACATACACGAAATCGTGAAGCGAGCCAACTCAACAGTCTATCTGATACGACGCTGTTTCAGGGAAATGTCCCCTGAAGTGTTTCTCTGAGCCTACAAAACCTACATCAGACCACTGCTGGAGCATGCTGTTGTGGTTTGGTGTCCCTATTTCAGAAAGGACATAGATCTGATTGAGCATGTCCAGAGGAGGGCAGCCAAAATTCCACCATCTTTAAGAGAATTGTCTTATGAAGAACGACTGAAAGCTCTCAATCTGTCAACTCTGGAGGAACCCAGAAATAAAGAATACTTAATCGAAACATACAAAATTCTACATAATCATTACACATGCGACATTGATTTCTTTCACAGGAATATCAACCCTCATCTGCATGGACACTCCCTGAAGCTCTCCACCGAACTTTGTCACAGACTTTCCAGGAAGAATTTTTTCACAAATCGTGGGGTGCAACAGTGGAATGAGCTCCCTGACAAGATTGTAACCTCCCCTAGTGTGAATGCCTTCAAGAACAGACTTGATAAATATTTTAGTGATAAGCCGTAAAATAGTGTACTGGCAAGTAATATTCCTAGCACAAGGACTAATGACAGTCTACCGGTTTTTCAGCCTACTGTACTATAATAAAGACTTCAAAAATCTGGAAAACTTGGAAGTGAGATTAATATCAATTAAGTATAGGCATCTAGATGATAAAGTCGCCAAGAAATCAAAGATTTTGATTTGATTTAAGACCTTTAAAGGCTTCATAGATCTTGAAGACTTCTATTCAAAGTAGGATAATTCAAAAAAATATCAATCTATACATTGTAAATTTTGTCTATAAAACATTTTATTAGGGTTTTTTTGGTATAAAAGAAATAATATACACTAATATTGTCTAACAAATTACACTCTATACAATACATAATAATTAAAAAATACAAAAAAATATACACAATTAACTATAATTTATTTTTTTACGTTACAAAAGACGTAAGTTTTTCTGTACATTATCACAGTAGGGCAAGTTAAATATTGGTTTTTTGTCTTTACCGTAAAATTTCTATACATTATGGATTTCCTTATATAGGTATTCAACTAGATTTGAAGCCATAACAATTCAGTTGCCACAAAATTATTTCATGCAATTTGTATGAACCCCAATTAAATTGAAGATGACGAGCAGGTTTGTATAAACTGCACAACATTTTTATTTTATTAGTCAAATTTCATTCAGTCAAAATCACAATTTCGTAGAAGGCCCCGCCTGAAACATATAACTAGGTTTTTCGGGCAAAGGCCTCAATGCTATAGAACCATTCGATTTCAAGCTGTCCTTTTTAGCTTCATCTTTTTGTTTTAATTCGGAGTAGAGATGCACGTCTCTATCTATGGGTTCCGAATAATCTCCAGTCAAAATAGGCTGGGTACTGTTCGTACTAATATCTAGGCTGTTTTTTTGATTATCTGATGTATTAAATTTTTCTTCCATTATTTTTAAAATTCCTCTAGGGTTAGTGTTTGGTGTGTTTGTAGGTGCGGGAGCTTGTTCTTGGTAAGGCGGCGGAGGGATTTGCAGGTTCAGGTTGCCTAACTCTTCATATAAATGAGCTTCTTCCTCTCTAAAAATTTCTATTAGAATTTCCCATGAATATAATAAACAAATTTATTACCTGTTATTATTCTCATAACTCTCATCAACAATAAACATTTCATAAAGTCGTTCAATTAAGTCACTAGCTTCCTGATGAGTATTAGGATCATCTAGACGATTGGATAATTCATGTAAAAATTCTACAGTCAATTCTTCAGGAATTTCGAGTTTTTCATTTTCAGTGTCTATTGTTACAATTGTGTTTTCTTCTTCTTCGTTACTTTGGTTGTTGTTGTAGTAGTTGTTTCTGAAGTAGCCTACAAAAAGGACTTTATAAATAAATAAAATACAATAACGAATAAATTACCTTTTCGTTTCAGCCATCTACTACCTCGTACAAGTAGAACCACAAAAGTAACAATCAAAGCAATAATAAACATTCCAATAAACAATATAATAAAAATAAGCCAGTTTTGCTTTTCTCCATTGTCATCTTCGACAAAGATTTTTCCAGTAATATTGATTGTTCTAGTTTCTCCATTGTAAGGCTCGCAAATTGTCTCGTTGACGCAAGTTTTTGCAGTAAAATTTTGCATGTTAATAATCCCCACTGGCAAGGAGAAGCACCTGGATAAGTTTTCGTCTACAGTACAAAAACTTGTGTCCATAAGTAAATCAGTTTGCAAACTAGAGTTTGTAAGGAGGCTCAACCAATCGGAAAGCTCGCACCCACAAGACTGATTGAAAAAGTTATCATCAAAAATCAGTTTACTTTCCTCAATTTTGGGCACGAAACTCAAGGAACCTTCCATGGCGTTATAAATTTCGTTTCCTTTGAATGAAATCAACTTGATGTCTGGACTAGTGGAGGCTACCAAAAAGTCCGAGTGTAGGTTTTTGATGACATTTTGGTCCATGATGATGCGGTTCCAGTTTTGGATTATTATGGCGTTCGAGTGGAAATTTAAGATGCTGTTGCCGATTATTTCGACGTTGGCTGCAGTGCTTGCTATGGCTTTGCTTTCAATGTCTGTTATACTGTAAAGGGAGAAATTTGTTAATGGCTTAACTATGTTAAATTCTAAGATAGAAATAGGAATGTTGATATTATGGGGCTTTAAAAAAGGTTATTTGAAGCATTGGCCCTAGTGGTTTGTTTTCGAGAACCAAATTTTGAGACAAAGTTTCAACTTTGAGGCTCAATATCTCAAAAACTAGTTGAGATAATTGATTCAATTTTGTTTTATTTTAAAGAGCATTGAATTCTGATTAAGAATATATAAATATGCATCAGAATTTTCAAAATACTAATCAAGTTATGGGCGGTTCTGTAAGGCAATGTATGATCAACATTTTTCAGGGCAATTTTTAAATATTTCGAAGGGCCGTATTTCGGAAACCAGAGAAGCTCGATATTTTGTCTAATTGTAGATCTCGTTTGGGGCTTCAAAAAAGGGTATTTGGGGCACCGAGCCCAAGGAATTCGTTTTCGAGATAATTGGCTTTGAAGGTTTTCCAAAATTTGAGACAAAGTTTCAAATTTGAGACTCAATATCTCAAAAACTATTTGAGATAATTGATTCAATTTTGTTTTATCTTAAAGAGCATTGAATTCTGACTAAGAAAATATAAATATGCATCTGAATTTTCAAAATACTAATCAAGTTATGGGCGATTCTGTAAGGCAATGTCGTATGATCAAAATTTTTCACTTCAAAAAATGCAAAAATCATTTTTAATTTTTTACAGGTTTTAAAACCTGGAAAAGGAAAATCACGAAAATGCTTTTCCACTAAATTTGACCCCCTTTTTTGATTGATAGAGTCAAAAATTGAAAAATTCAGAAAATTCAAAATTGAAATTTTTCTAAGGGGTATGCAAGGAAATTTCATTTTTAAATATTTCGAAGAGCCATATTTCGGAAACCAGAGAAGCTATTGGCATGATATTTTGTCTAATTGTATATCTCGATTGGGGCTTCAAAAAAGGTTATTTGGGGCACCGAGCCCTAGGACTTCGTTTTCGAGATAATTGGCTTTGAAGGTTTTTTAAAATTTGAAACAAAGTTTCAATTTTGAGGCTCAATATCTCAAAAACTATTTGAGATAATTGATTCAATTTTGTTTTATCTTAAAGAGCATTGAATTCTGATTAAGAATATATAAATATGCATCAGAATTTTCGAAATACTAATTAAGTTATGGGCGATTCTGTGAGGCAATGTCGTATGATCAAAATTTTTCACAACAAAAAATGCAAAAACCTTTTTGAATTTTTTACAGGTTTTAAAACCTGGAAAAGGAAAATCACGAAAATGCTTTTCCACTAAATTTGACCCCCTTTTTCGATTGGTAAAGTCAAAAATTGAAAAATTCAGAAAATTCAAAATTGAAATTTTTCTAAGGGGTATGTATGCAAGGAAATTTCATTTTTAAATATTTCGAAGAGCCATATTCCAGAAACCAGAGAAGCTATTGGCACGATATTTTGTCTAATTGTAGATCTCGATTGGGGCTTCAAAAAAGGTTATTTGGGGCACCGAGCCCTAGGACTTCGTTTTCGAGATAATTGGCTTTGAAGGTTTTTTAAAATTTGAAACAAAGTTTCAACTTTGAGGCTCAATATCTCAAAAACTAGTTGAGATAATTGATTTAATTTTGTTTTATCTTAAAGAGCATTGAATTCTAATTAAGAATATATAAATATGCATCAGAATTTTCAAAATACTAATTAAATTATGGGCGATTCTGTGAGGCAATGTAGTATGATCAAAATTTTTCAGGCTAAAAAAATGCAAAAATCATTTTTAATTTTTTACGGGTTCTAAAACCTGGAAAAGGAAAGTCACGAAAATGTTTTTCCACTAAATTTGACCCCCTTTTTTGATTGATAGAGTCAAAAATTGAAAAATTCAGAAAATTCAAAATTGAAATTTTTCTAAGAGGTATGCAAGGAAATTTAATTTTAAAATATTCCGAAGGGCCATATTTCGGAAACCAGAGAAGCTATTGGCACGATATTTTGTCTAATTGTAGATCTCGATTGGGGCTTCAAAAAAGGTTATTTGGGGCACCGAGCCCTAGGACTTTGTTTTCGAGATAATTGGCTTTGAAGATTTTCCAAAATTTGAGACAAAGTTTCAACTTTGAGGCTCAATATCTCAAAAACTAGTTGAGATAATTGATTCAATTTTGTTTTATTTTAAAGAGCATTGAATTCTGATTGGGAATATATAAATATGCATCAGAATTTTCAAAATACTAATTAAGTTATGGGCGATTCTGTAAGGCAATGTCGTATGATCAAAATTTTTCACTTCAAAAAATGCAAAAATCATTTTTAATTTTTTACAGGTTTTAAAACCTGGAAAAGGAAAATCACGAAAATGCTTTTCCACTAAATTTGACCCCCATTTTTTGATTGATAGAGTCAAAAATTGAAAAATTCAGAAAATTCAAAATTGAAATTTTTCTGAGGGGTATGCAAGGAAATTTCATTTTTAAATATTTCGAAGAGCCATATTTCGGAAACCAGAGAAGCTATTGGCATGATATTTTGTCTAATTGTATATCTCGATTGGGGCTTCAAAAAAGGTTATTTGGGGCACCGTGCCCTAGGAATTCGTTTTCGAGATAATTGGCTTTGAAGGTTTTTTAAAATTTGAAACAAAGTTTCAACTTTGAGGCTCAATATCTCAAAAACTATTTGAGATAATTGATTTAATTTTGTTTTATCTTAAAGAGCATTGAATTCTGATTAAGAATATATAAATATGCATCAGAATTTTCGAAATACTAATTAAGTTATGGGCGATTCTGTGAGGCAATGTCGTATGATCAAAATTTTTCTCGACAAAAAATGCAAAAATCATTTTTAATTTTTTACAGGTTCTAAAACCTGGAACAGGAAAATCACGAAAATGCTTTTCCACTAAATTTGACCCCCTTTTTCGATTGGTAAAGTCAAAAATTGCAAAATTCAGAAAATTCAAAATTGAAATTTTTCCAAGGGGTATGCAAGGAAATTTCATTTTTAAATATTTCGGAGGGCCATATTTCGGAAACTAGAGAAGCTATTGGCACGATATTTTGTCTACTTGTAGATCTCGATTGGGGCTTCAAAAAAGGTTATTTGGGGCACCGCGCCCTAGGGCTTCGTTTTCGAGATAATTGGCTTTGAAGGTTTTCCAAAATTTGAAACAAAGTTTCAACTTTGAGGCTCAATATCTCAAAAACTAGTTGAGATAATTGTTTCAATGATGTTTTATCTTAAAAAGCATTGAATTCATTAAAAAATTTATAAACATGCATCAGAATTTTCAAAATACTAATTGAGTTATTGGCGGTTCTGAGAGGCAATGTCGTATGATCAAAATTTTTCTTGACAAAAAATGCAAAAATCATTTTTAATTTTTTACAGGTTTTAAAACCTGGAAAAGGAAAATCACGAAAATGTTTTTCCACTAAATTTGACCCCTTTTTTTAATTGATAGAGTCAAAAATTGAAAAATTCAGAAAATTCAAAATTGAAATTTTTCCAAGAGGTATGCAAGGAAATTTAATTTTTAAATATTTCGAAGGGCCATATTTCGGAAACCAGAGAAGCTATTGGCACGATATTTTGTCTAATTGTATATCTCGATTGGGGCTTCAAAAAAGGTTATTTGGGGCACCGAGCCCTAGGACTTCGTTTTCGAGATAATTGGCTTTGAAGGTTTTCCAAAATTTGAGACTCAATATCTCAAAAACTAGTTGAGATAATTGATTCAATTTTGTTTTATCTCAAAGAGCATCGAATTCTGATTAAGAATTAATAAACGTAATATAAATTTTACATCTACATGTTACGTGAATTTCTACCTTAAATTTATGTAGCTGTGTTTACTGGGTATTGAGGAGTACCAAGTACTTACATGGAATGATTAACAGTCAAATTAGCCATACCAGCCATAATAGCTTTCGATTCAATTTTACCAATGGTGCATTTGCTAATTTTAAACTCAAATACCAATGTCCGATCCGTGATAGCACTTGCTTCTATAGATTGAATACTTGTGTTGAACATTAGAATCTAAAATATTATTGTAAATACTTTTGATAAATAAGTGAAAAATAGCTTACAGATGAAATTTCTGCTGATTTAAAAGCTTCCTGATGAATCGCTCCGATTCTGCTGTCCCTGAAAGCGATTTGGGCCATCGAAGTTAGAAACACTTCTCTGGAAATTTCTGGAATGACTACATTTACAAATAGCACTACAGTGACAGGTCCATGTCTTCCGTTGATCCCCAAGTTTTTGATTTCAAAAGCCTTAGAATCCAACGATATTTGGCCGACATCTTGAAACGTACAATTGCTTAATTTACTAAAAGGTGCTTGTTCTAATTTCACATAATTCGCTCCTATTATTTCAGTCGACAAGGAACCCTTAAAACAATAAAATGATTAAATAATGAAAAACAAATTTCAAAAAACCTTACCTGCATTTCATCAAAAGCCTGATTCCTGAACAAGAGATCATCACAGCCGAGTATCTGTACGAGTAGACTAGAAGATTGTACGTTGAAAAAAGCTCTTTTTTCGAAAACTACGCTGCGCACTTTTTCGAGGCGCAGCAAAGCCCAAGCTGGCAAACCACTGAAAGTCTTGGCATTGAAAGTAATACTTCGACCTCCGCTAATGAAGATTTCGGTTACTTCTTTTGGTATGTGGCCCGATTGGAGCACCAACTCCTGAAAATAACAATAAGAACTGGTTTACATTTTAAATTTCGTAACAATATCCTTGATATCTTTATGTATGTGTTAATTTAAAAGCAGCATTGTTTGTAATAAATAATTTCTTTATTGGGTGCTCGAATTGGCCTTCAGGTTCACCTGATTTAAACTCACTTGACTATAATATATTATAACTAATCTTATAATATTCGATACGTGACAACTTAAAGTCGGTTGAGATTATCATGGTACCTGTTTTTATCAAATGTGTTTGCGTTGAGCTTTTTGGTTTTAAAATCTTCGATTTGCTCTGGTGAAAGTCCCGCTACGAGTGTAACGGCCAATGCAACCTCAAAAAAAAAAAAAACAACAAGCCGAAACCGACCGGAAACTGTTAATTATTCAGCAGAGCCAGAGATTGCAGTTATATGCGTCTATGGAAGGAAAAAGCGTTTTATATATTATTCTGGGTGCATATAAAACCGGTTGCACGTTTCAACTAGAATTGGTAATTATGGTCGGATGCACAAGGTTTGGCCGATATGGTTCATTGGAGCTTTCAGAAAAAATATTTTTGGGTCCAATAAAGCCCAATTTAATGTGTCGGTATATAAGAGAAGTGAATATTAAATTTGATTGAGTGGAGTGTGTGTCAAGAGTCTCAATTGGAGAAAAAAATTAAGGTGATGGTGCCTTTCCGCTATAAAATCTTTAGAAATAGAAGCTTTTCTTTGTGTACAGACCATGAAGAAGTACCTAAGTGATTTACTGGATAGGAATGAGGCAAATACAAAGGGGCAAACCACCTAGGAATTCTTTGCCAAAAATGTGGGGAATTTAGAGGAATATGTGGGGAATTAAGAGGAATTTGTGAGGAATTTGAAAGAATTCATCCGAATTTATGAGAATTTGGGGAATTTATAGGGAATTTGGAGGAATTTATGGGAAATTTGAGAGAATTTGTGAGGAATTTATGAGGAATTTAAAGGAAATTGTCAAATTGAAAAAATTCAAAAGAATAAATGAATATAGGTAGGTACAGTTTTTGTAGGCTGATTTCCAAGATTTTTCATGTTGTTATTTTCCACTGAAAAATTTGAAATTTTGAGAAAATGAGCTTCTCACTTTACATGCAAAAAGTTTCAAAATTTTCCCTTCACTAGTTTTCCAGAAAAACTTTGAAATGTGTGAGACTGTATTTTCAATAACTTATTCAGTTTTTGTGGGTTGATTTCCAAGATTTTTTATGTTGCTGTTTTCCACTGGAAAAATTTGAAATTTTGGAAAAATGAGCTTCTTATACCTTCTTCTTTACATGCAAAAAGTTTCAAAATTTTCCCTTCACTAGTTTTCCAAGAAAACTTTGAAATGTGTGAGACTGTATTTTCAAATAATTCAGTTTTTATAGGTTGATTACCAAGATTTTTCATGTTGTTATTTTTCACTGGAAAAATTTGAAACTTTGGGAAAATGAGCTTCTCACCCTCCTCTTTACATGCAAAAAGTTTCAAAATTTTCCCTTCACTAGTTTTCCAGGAAAACTTTGAAATATGTGAAAGTGTATTTTCAATTAATTCAGTTATTGTAGGTTGATTTTCAAGATTCCTCATGTTGTAATTTTCTACTGGAAAAATTTGAAATTCTGGGAAAATGAGCTTCTCACCTTCCTCTTTACATGCAAAAAGTTTCAAAATTTTCCCTTCTTTAGTTTTCCAGGGAAACTTTGAAATGTGAGACTGTATTTTCCACTTATTCAGTTTTTGTAGGTTGATTTCCAAGATTTTTCATGTTGCTGTTTTCTACTGGAAAAATTTGAAATTTTGAGAAAATGAGCTTCTCACCTTCCTCTTTACATGCAAAAAGTTTCAAAATTTTCCCATTACCTACTAGTTTTCGAGGAAATTTTTGAAATGTGTGAGACTGTATTTTCAATTAATTCAGTTAATTGTAGGATGATTTCCAAGATTTTTCATGTTGCTGTTTTCTATTGGAAAAATTTGAAATTTTGGGAAAATGAGCTTCTTACCTTCTTCTTTACATGCAAAAAGTTTCAAAATTTTCCCTTTACTAGTTTTCCAGGAAAACTTCGAAATGTGTGAGACTGTATTTTCAACTTATTCAGTTTTTGTAGGTTGATTTCCAAGATTTTTTATGTTGCTGTTTTCCATTCAAAAATTTGAAACTTTGGGAAAATGAACTTCTCACCTTCCACTTCACATGCAAAAAGTTTTAAAATTTTCCCATCTCTAGTTTTCCAGGAAAACTTTGAAATGTGTGAGACTGTATTTTCAAATAATTCAGTTTTTGTAGGTTGATTTCCAAGATTTTTCATGTTGTCATTTTTCACTGGAAAAATTAGAAATTCTGGGAAAATGAATTTCTCACCTTCCTCTTTACATGCAAAAAGTTTCAAACTTTTCCCATCTCTAGTTTTCCAGGAAAACTTTGAAATGTGTGAGACTGTATTTACAATTAATTCAGTTTTTATAAGTTGATTTCCAAGATTTTCCATGTTGTTATTTTCCACTGGAAAAATTTGAAACTTTGAGAAAATGAGCTTCTCACCTTCCTCTTTACATGCAAAAAGTGTCAAAATTTTCCCTTTACTAGTTTTCTAGGAAAACTTTCTAATGTGTGAGACTGTATTTTCAACTTATTCAGTTTTTGTAGGTTGATTTCCAAGATTTTTCATGTTGCTGTTTTCTACTGGAAAAATTTGAAATTCTGGGAAAATGAGCTTCTCACCTTCCTCTCTACATGCAAAAAGTTTCAAAATTTTCCCATTTAGTTTTCCAGGAAAAGTTTGAAATGTGTGAGACTGTATTTCCAATTAATTCAGTTTTTATAAGTTGATTTCCAAGATTTTTCCTCGGATTTTTCATGTTGTTATTTTCCACTGGAAAAATTTGAAACTTTGAGAAAATGAGCTTCTCACCTTCCTCTTTACATGCAAAAAGTTTCAAAATTTTCTCTCCACTAGTTTTCTAGAAAAACTTTCAAATGTGTGAGACTGTATTTTCAACTTATTCAGTTTTTGTAGGTTCATTTCCAAGATTTTTCATGTTGCTGTTTTCCACTGGAAAAATTTGTAATTATGGAAAAATGAACTTCTCACCTTCCTCTTTACATACAAAAAATTTCAAAATTTTCCCTTTCTTTAGAAGAATTTGTGGGGTATTTGGAGGAATTTTGAGGAATTATGCGTAAAAAATTCCCCTTTGAGGAATTGTTTGCACCAATTCTGGGATGGTGGTTTACCCCTTGGGCAAATAATATATGCACTTTGGGAGCTTGAAAAGTCAGTTTGTATCCAAGGAAGTAAGATAAGTTTGAAGAAGTCAAAGGAAGTTCAAATTCTGAAGTCAATAGATGTTTGGAGAAATGTAATGAAGTCAAAGAAAGATTGAAAAGAAGAATTAGTCAAAATAAGACAGTGGCTTTCCTAGTAGAACCACCTAGAAAGTTCTCATCTCCACCTGGGAAAGTTTAGGGAAAGATTCCATATTTTCGTTCGAAGGAAAATATAAGAAAGTGAAAATTTTGAGGAAATGTGGGAAAAATTTTGGAAGTCAGAAAAGTTCAAAGGAACTATGGAAAATATTAATTGAACAATAAAGGAAGTTTCTAATACAAAATAAGTTAGTCGTGAGGAGAACCTTTAGGAAGTCCAAATATCCTTCTGATTTATGAATTTGACATACTGTCCATGATATCCAAAACGGTAATTATTAATCTGAAGAAGTTTGCAGAACTCCTAGAATATTGGGAATTTTCATAAGAGTCAAAGAAAGTCTAATAAACTCATAGTATTTCAAGCAATTAAGAAGAAGAAAAAAGAAATAATAATTGAAGCCTGGAATAGAAAGAAATTGAAACAAAAATAAATGGGAAATACTTGAGTAGAAGGATTTTTTTAAATTTTTTTATTCCAGGTTCAATGAAGCAATTTTGATTATTATTGGCTCTTGAGTCTCGACTGCCTTTGTAAAAATCATCTAGCGAATCCAGAGCCGATAATACGAGGGGTATAAACCACTAGTGGAAATCATTGTACATTTTTTTGGAAACCGTGCATAGTGATCAATCAGGGATACATGGAAATCACTTGGGAGTCTCTGCGGGAATAACCTGGGCCGGTATTCTGGGCCGGTATTCTGGGCCGGTATTCTGGTCCTCGAAAACGCTCACCGCTTTTCAGTCGCTCGGCACTTCTAATGTGAATTTATATTAAAAGTGCCGAGCGACTTGAAAGCGGTGACCGTTTTCGGGAACGAGAATACCGGCCCTTGCTGGTAATCATACAAAAATATCTGAAAATCATTGGCAATCAATCGCAATTCTTGGGATGGGAATACATGAGAATCCTTGATCAGTGATTGCTAAATATGGAAATCATTGTACATCTGTAAGCATAGTGGTTGTCCCTTCCCGAATACATGCGATAATAGTTCAAATTTTAATCATTACCGGCTCTTAATTGGTTCCATAAAAGTTTTCTAAAGAATCAAGAGCCGGTAATAGTTGAACTATTACCGGCTCTTTATCCATTGGAAAACCCCTGGAGATAAGATGAGAACGATTTTCTTTCGTTTCATCTTGTTTCCATTCATCTAATGTCAGTTTTGATGCATAATACAATAAGTAAATTCGTCTCGGAGATTCAAAAAAGCATTTCCATACTTGAATTTATTCAATAGGTAGGTAATTAATGTGGACTTTATATTATCATAGAATGTTATTGTTCTATTGGTGGTCTACAGAGAGAGGTTTTTTCAAAAGTTTCAACAAATCCAGAGTCCAGAGGGAAATCTTATCCATCAGTAAATACATAAAATACCGTGTAAAACAAAAGGCAATCTAATTTTGAGACTGCGCCTGGATGTTTTATGAACCCCCTGAAAATATTTCGCAAATACTCTGGATTATTTTGAGACGTAGAGGAATTTCTTCGCCGATATATTTTCACGATGGATTTACGACTGCTGCTGGGTTAATTTGAGGCTACCGGAGCATAT